TCGGAGTCTTCTAGTGAGGCTTCTGAGGTCATTGCGAGTAGCAGCGTAACGTGCGTAATCCACCTCGTCTCCAGAGATAGTGTACCGGTCCCAACTAGCGCGTTTCTTCTTGCTGAGTTTCTTTACTTCAAGGGTTGCGAACAAATTCCTCTTGGATGATTTCTTACTAGTCCGGGGAATGTGTGAATCAATACTGGCTTGCAGAAAGTTCTTAAAATCACTGTACGCTTCGTCAAAAGACTTGTTCTCGAGTCTAGTGTCCCAGTCAATACCAGCTAAGTCTGCAGCTATACTGGCATAGTCACCGCGGTACAGATTGAGCCTTGGCTTTGAGTTGTCCTTTCTCTCGGTGTACAGCTTGATTTCGAACTGCAGCCGTATATGATCACTCTGTCCAATGCCTGGTAAGTACTCAATATTTTCCACCATTCCATCTTCATTTGTTAAAACAAGGTCGAGAACGTTCGGTACTTCTCCAGGTCGGTATCTAGTCGGCTTGAAGACATGCTGGTACAGCAAGTTTTCATGCACACAGCGTAGAAATTGGTGGGAAGGGTGAGTATCGTTTGCACGTGAGGTTGTTTGTTTCCAGTCGATTTCAGGGTAGTTGAAATCTCCAGTGATTAGGAGGTGTGTAGGTCTGGTCCCCACAACTACTTGTAAAAGGTGTGACAAGTGTTCGGTTGACAACCTTAGGTCAGAGGATGGGCTTCGGTAGATGCCTCCTATAATCAGCTTATCTTGCCTTTGCAAACGTACTTGTACCCACAAATGTTCCTGGAACTCAATGTCATTGTAGGAGACTTCTGCCGCATCAATGTGGTCTGCTGTGTAGATCACTATCCCACGCTTACCCATTCGTGTGCGCTGTGAATCCTGGGATGGTAATTCTGGCTGCCCCAAGAGGTAGTCTCTGAGCCTTAGGGATTGCTTCCGTAAGTATGATCACATCAGGCTCTTCTGTTGTTATGGCTAACATGAGATCATCCCTCTTGTTTGGTAGTTGGTCTATGTTTGTGTACATAATGTTCAATTTGCCTTTCTCTTACCTGTTTCTACATGATGGGTGGTTGTGCGTATCAAGTCAGGCTTGGGAATGGTCATCGCGGCCGTCCCGCGGCTGGGGTTCCCGAGGTGTCTGCGTGCACACTATACGCCCACGCCTGATGACCAGGTTTTCTTCTCCTGCTTCTCTCCTTGATTTGAGCTCCTGTCGCAGCTTTCTGTCCGCTTCCCTCTCATTTGGTGTCATATCGGGCACAATGTACACTCTGCTCCAGCGGGAACTGTTTCTTAAGTCTTTCGCTCTTCTGAGAATCAGAGCGCGGCTAGAGGTGTCGTCATTGTCCATTCTGATCAAGAGCGGTCTTGGTTTGTCAGAGGTCTTTCGCCCCAATCTATAGGCTGCTTGTACCTTAGGGATGAGGTTAAACTCCTTTTTGATGATGTCCGTAAAGACTTTTTTATCACTCAACTTGCTGTCAGTCGCATCGTCCCTCACGTCTTCTGGCACGTTGAAGACTACGAGGTTCTTGCGCCTCTTCTCCCGCTCGATGTACTCGTCCACCAACTGAACCACCTCCCTGGAATCTTGAGGAGTGCACGAGGACGACTGAGGGGTAGAGGTACCTGCCACAATCTTGTTGATAGTACCTGTGAAGCGGCTGAGATTCCTCGTGACGTCTGCATAAGATTGCCTTTGCCCTTGACCCTGGGACTGCAAGCTGTTATTGGCACTAGTCAACGTTAAGTCTTTAACTTTGCTTTCGATGCTGACGGCTATGGCTGTGGCTGTCTTTTCTGCAATTGATGCTATCATCACTTCGTCGTAACGTTTCTCTCTCACTTCATCACTTGTGCAATTTACAGCTTCGGATCGTGCTCCCTCGACAGCTAATGGCTCACAGGTAGAACAATACCAGTGTAAAGATCGGTACTTGATGAGCGCATTAAGCATTGCTTTGGGCATCTTCATACATGGTGCACACATCCACTTAAGACAACGTTCGCATTCAATTTGATCGTTCTCACCGTGGCGCCTGTCGTCACACTCACCGCTGACATTCCTTCCAACCTCATCTTCAATGGCGGCACTGTTTACCTCCTGATGACAGCTGCCTTGGATCGGGTTGGGGGAACTTCCAGCTACATCCTTTGGTTTAGTGAAGGTCGCAGGTTCCTTGTTGGCAGAGGGAAGGCGCCTACGGTCTACACACCTCCGACACAGTATCAAATCACCCTGACAGTTCTGTCCACCCACACCCCGACAGTCCTCGCATCTTGGCATGGTGGACGATTTTTCCCCGTTATCAAATCACGTTAAAAACAAACAAAACACGACAAAAAGTTTCTGCAGTCCGTCAGTAGGTACTTATCTTCGTAACCGTGAAACTTGTAGAGGCGGATGGTTCAGTTTGATCAGGATTTTCAGCAGATTCTCAGAAGATTCAGCAGCAGAAAATCAAATAGCAGCCATCTTGCATCGATCTTGCAGCCATCAAATAGCAGCCATCTTGCATCGATTCATATGCGCTATAAAGGCTACAACTAACAGGCTTTTCAGAAAATACAAAGATATGTACACAGATATTACGATTTCAGGGATATCGCGGCCAAAACATACCATACAAAGTCACGTTTCCGGCGATTTACTGCGCACTTACTTAGACTCTGGTCAGAATTAAACTCCGACCCGGATCCTTAAGAAATCATATAATTTTCGCAATAATTATGCAAAATTAGGTCATCATTTGCATAATTGATATCTGGTGACGTTCTATTTAATCGTGTACATCTCTCTCTCAGCTACCTACCTACCAAAAATGATGAAAATATGTTGTTCCTATCTGGACTTATTGGCTTTTAGAGACTTCGCCCGAAAGTCCCCTGCAGTTCCAGAACAAGCTGGTAGGGGGACCAAGCCCACACCACTTATTTCTGACAGGAAAATCTATCTGTCACCAAAAAGTCAAGACCATAGCATGTTCAGGACAAAAGATACAAAAACCGGAAGTTCTGCTGCAGTACCAAGGTCATTCACCAGGAGACCCATATTTGACCTTGGCCTTCGTCTTCCTAAGCCTTACTAACATACCAAATATCATCACAATCCATAAAGACGTTCTGAAGTTATGATGACCACAAAGTTGCGGAAACACACGCAGACAGACACACACACACACACACACACACACACACACACACACACACACACACACACACACACACACACACACACACACACACACACACACAGGCAGACACGCCAAAAACAATACCTCCATTTTTCATGGAGGTAACAACAGACACCCAGCTGATAGGTGCACAGCTGAGTGAGACCACCAGTACAATAGACTGCGATCGATGTACAGCGACTATGGTTGGATCTGCTTGAACCATATTGTCAAAACGCAGCACACTTGGCCCATGTAATTGGAATACGATGCAAGCTAAAAAGTAAAAGAATTAGTCAAAAGACAACCAAACTCACACTGTAACTAGAGTTCCCCGATCTCATACCTTCGCCAAATGATGTTAATCTTTATGACTGACAAATTATAGATTAGATTATTCCCCCCTGATTTAAGAAATAGGAACCTAATTTTCATGAATTATATCATTTTATCATAATCTCAACCAAAAGACAGTCTTATATTAACAAACAATGCATTCTAGCACTTCCTAATAAATTATGCAAATGAGGTCCTGATTTGAATAAATTATGTTTAATGATGTTCACCTCAACTAAACTTTCAAATACCACAAGTATGAAATTCCAGGCAGTTATCATTACATAATTATAAAACTTTCTCATTAATTATGCAAATTCAGTCATTATTAACATAATCAATATCTTCCTGTGTTTCTCTCGTTGTCAATTACCAATGTCACAAGCTTCAATTGTCCTATCATGGAATGCAGCTGATTTATAGAATTTCCCCATAAATTATGTAAATTACATCCATATTTGCATAATTGTCACATAATTATATTAAACATCACGTAAGCTACCTACATACCAAAAATCACGACGATCCGTCAAACGGTTCTTGAGTTATCCTCTTTTGAATAATTTCAAGAATATATCCCTGCAGTTCCAGAGCAAGCCGCTAGGGGGGCCAAACTCACGTCACTTCTTCCCCAGCACGAGAGCTACCTACCACCCAAATTTCATTACCATAGCGTGTCTAGATCATGAGATATCAAAACCGGAAGTTCAGCTGCAGTACCATAACAAGCCGCTAGGGGGCCCAAAATCTAATCATTTTGAGTTCTCATCAAGACCTACCCACCTACCAAGTATCAAAATAATCCATCAAGGCCTTCTCAAGTTATCGTGTTTACAGACAGACACACACACACACACACATACACGAACGCCCCTGAAAACATAACCTTCTTGGCGAAGGTAATAAATGTGGTATTTATCTGTCGTCGAGCGTTCTTTGATCGCTAAGTGGTCGAGCGGAAAGATGACAAAACATTTAAGTAGAGCTGTACGTGGCAGGCATAGTTATACGTTTGTAAGTTGTAAGTAGAGTGAAAAAAGACCCCAGATAGATGAAAGACGGCTTTGTAAAATGTATGAAATCAATTTATCTATCTGTTTATTTGAGGAAGATTATTTTCTCAACAGCGTAAGAGGATTCAGATGTTGGCATAGCAGAAAGAAACTGACAGCTCTTTATTTCGTACACTAAGCGATATGACATTATAAGATCACTGCGTTTGTTTATCTATGTGCCGGAGCCTATTTTCTGAATGGTGCATTATTTCTCTCTCTCTCTCTCTCTCTCTCTCTCTCTCTCTCTACATATATATATAGTATAGATAACACACTAAGAAGACTGGTGCCCCATGTCCCTAAATAACACACCAAATAAAATCTTACCTTAAACGCCAAACAACATTTTACTAAACATAGTACAGTTAGAGTTTCAAGACCTCATGCCAAATGATGTTAACTTTATGGCTGGCGAGTTAAATATTATTCCCTCTGATTATGCAAAAACGGCTAGGTGTCTCTTAGACTGAATAAGCCGAGTACGGCTTGTAGTGTTTGAGTGTGCGAGCGGAGGGGTCGTCGCTCTTGCTCCACCGTGACATCCAGTAGTAAGGGATCCACTTGGACTTGCTGGGGAAGTGTTTCTCGAAGATCTGGCGGAAGTAGTAAGCCTCCTTGGTACGTGGAGGGTTAAACGGGAAGGTCTTGGGGGCGTCTTCCATCATCTGATCATTGATCTGTGAGGTAAAGACATGAATTAATGAATAACACCTAAATGAATTTATAGTTTAATCGGCAAATATCTCGCAGACAAAAGGTGGTTTACAAAGGAGAATTTTATTGCACGACAATTGTCGTGCAAAGTATGGCGACAACTTTTTTCAATAACAAAGCAGGATTTCATATATTCACCTATTTTTGCATTGTGCGGGTTATTGCATTCAAAGATATTATTCAAATCTGTCTGTAGCATCCAGTCTCTTGAAATCTGTTGTACTTGATTTGAGAAATGTAAATAGCTTGTTACATCAAACTCCACATCTTTTGTTTGGGCAAAATGAGCAAAATCTTCCATAAAGGCTACACTGTAGCATCTTTCTGTTTCCACATTCCATTTATAACTGATGATTCTTAACCGGGTTATCGCTTTACGGGTTTCAAATGTATCAATACCATACAGGTATGTTTTATGTTCAAAGCAGTTTGTTTCCGACTTCTTAAGAAATTTTTAAATTATTTCAGAAACAACTAAAAAAACTCTTGCGCATTTGTATCTCATAGGCATAGCCGGAAGCGAAGTTGGTAATGTGGGTAGGTAATATAACCTACATTAAAATTCAAGAGGTTTTATCCATATATGTCCATGGCAATTGAGAATGACCTTTAAAACATGTTACATAAAGAGGTCATGGGCACAGGGGTTTGATTCCAGGCTAACCATTTCTTCTAGCTCTAGCAATGCCATACAGACAATGAATAAAAGACATCAAATTTGTCAAGCTTTAGTCACCTGCTCTTCCACATATTCCTGGAGGGTTTCGTACCACGATTTCTTCAAAGACGACACGCCGTCGCTGAATCCCTCCTTCGGGCGCCACAAGATCTCATCGGGCAGGAGGCCCGTTCCGTCAAACGCCTTGCGGAGGGGGTACTTCTCGATCCCGTCCTTGGCTCGTCTCACCTCGGCCGGTAGGGACAGGTAGTAACCGGTGAACATGTGGTCCAGGAAGGGCACACGCAGCTCCAGGCTGGAACAAGAATTCAAATCAGAGATTCCAAACTCCCGTGAAGTTTGAAATCCTCGAACTCCTCGAAAAATAAGAGTAAAAGATGGATAAAGTTATTTTTATTGATCAATTGTGACTTCTGGCTTACCCATGAGCACTTGCCATTCTGTCCCCCCTCAGGACGTCATACATGTAGAGGTCTGCTAGCAGCCGCCGGCTCTCCACATCCGCCTCCTCTGCAGAAGGAGCCTATAGATGTGAGTAGAAAACTTCATTAACAGGTCATATCTAAGCTGCAGAAGTCGATATACATTCAAAAGCACGTAAAAATAATTTGTTTTAACCATTGAAGATAGATAAATGCATTTTTGGACAGACGTAGAGTCAGGTTAAGTCAAAGTTTACATGTGCACAGCAAATGCAGGTACAATATAAGGCAAAGATTTTTTTAATGAGATCTCGAAAGTATTAGACTTTGGCCCCCTGGCGGATTGGGCTAGGGGCTAGTGACGTAGGTTTTTTATAATCATTGAAAAACTTTATAATTCGTCAACATTCGTCAAGGTTAACATTATTTGGCGAAGGCATGAAGTCGTGGAACACTTAGTTACATCTATTACAATCTATGCATAATTTTTTAAGATACCCAAAACAATTATATAGAAGGCACAATGCCGGAAAAACAGCAAGGTAAAGATTAATACTATTAGTCCCATATCCTTTTTAAGTCGTAGGGGAGGTGGGTTGTTAGTCCACTGTTTCTTGGGCATGGTTCCCATCCCTCTCCTTAAAAACTGTAACGTCGGCGGAAAAATAGGCAGATAAAATATACACCCGCCTTGTTGAAGTAGATGTATCCTTGAGCGAGTTCGTCAGATCCCTCCCCGGAGAAAATGACGACAGAGTCTGTCTTGGTGCGGATGTACTGACACACCAGGTACATAGCTAAAACAGATGGACAACATTTACCTCCATAAATCGTAGTGTTGCCTGGCTAAATATAATGCCTCTAGCAACACTTCTGCTGGTCAGGGCCCAGACTCTTGATGACCAGTGCCTCTTAGTCACGGGAATTTTAAACATTCTACAAATGTAACGTTGTTCGTCTATTCCAAGATCAGGGTGTACTTGGGCCAATTTTTCAAGTATCAAAATTTTTCACTTTTAGTATAGAAACTTGAAGTACAAGTGATGAATGATACTTTTTAAATTTTTGATAGCGATGAGCGGTTTTAAAGTTGCGCAGATTCAAACTTGAGTCCATTACTTTGCAATGGCACTGTATAGACACTAATAGATGAATTCTTTGGCACCCCTGATATGACACTCCTATTTTAGCCGCTTAGAATAAGTGACAAGGAAGAGCTGCAGTATTACTTTTACAAGTCTAGGTGATCTATCCCAGCAGCCAGCTCAAAACAAGAACATTAACTACATGTCACCAATGAGAAATTATGGCACTCCTATGTGTATTTTTAAAAACCAATCAGGATCATGGGCAAGTGCGAGCTGCAGTACTACTGACCTACAGATCCCCGGATGGTGATGACGTCATAGCTCTCCAGACTGTAGATGACGTCTTCGATGGCCTGGATCCCCTCCTCTGGAGTGAAGGACACTTCATGGTGCTCACTACCGATGTACTTCGCAACCTGGAAAATATACACTGTAAAAATATACCCCGTAACCCATGACCAGGTGAAGTCACATTGGAATCACATTGCGTTCAGACGCAAATCGCGATGCGGGAAAACCGGGTCGAAACTACCTCCGGAAGTGGTTTAGGATCGAGGCACTTTCGATGTGATTTGTAGCGTTCAGGGCCTGTTCAGACGGAGTCAGTGAAAACGCTTTACATCTGGTTTACGCCGAAGCCGGTTTCAAGTGGCCCGATCTGAACGCTCCAAATCAAGTATTTCAGATACCGTACCGGAGGATACATACCAGGATCAAAGTTGGTACCTGCGTTAATGGCATTGTCTATGTCCGATTAATTTTTTACAAGCATTAGTGCCAGCCGAGAATTCTGCCTGTGCTGACCCTTGTAATGATTTTTTTCATTGCCAATAAATACAAATTCCAATCCCTACCGTCCTTGCAGCCTCTACATCAGGACTGCCCTTCATCCCGATGGCATACGTCTGGACAGGGTAGATGATTCCAGATTTCTTAGCATGTTTCACTAGGAGTGCGGAGGTTAAACTGGAGTCCAGACCACCTGGCAAAGAGACGACACATAAAAATGTGGAGTTTAGCGCTTAGTGAAATCTAAATTGAAGTAAAAATATCAGCGGTGAACCACTGATTAATCAAATATAATCAAATATAATTGGATACTATGTAAAGCTATGTGTTCATCTTAGCCTTTGTAGCTTTTGTTCACAACAGCATGCTAGGTACCAGATTTCAGAATGGGTGAAAAAGCACTGGCCAGATGGGAATCTGTTTTTTTAAGTACATCTGAGTAATTTTGAGTACATCTGGGTGAATTTTCCGATTGCAAAGGTGCCGATTGCTATTGTTCCAACGTCACTTTTTTTACGGCGCACTACCATGGAATCGGTGTGTGCACCGTTATCGAACGAAGCAGATTTATAAAATTTTCTCAATAATTGTGCAAATTAGCTCCTGATTTGCATAATTGTCATCTTATTACTAGTATCTCAAGCATCACTTCAGTTACCTACATACCAAAAATCATGACAATCCGTCAACCGGTTCTTGAGTTATCCTCCTTTGAAGATTAAAAAAAGCGCCCCTGCAATTACAAAACAAGCCACTAAGGGGCCCAAACTCATGTCACTTCTTTCTACCATCCAAAATTGGTGACCCTAGCGTGTCCAGATCATATCAAATCGGAAGTTCTGCTGCAGTACCAACAAAAGCCGCCAGGGGCCCAAATCTACTAATTTCTAGATCTTATCAGGATCTACTTACCTACCAAGTTTCATGACAACGCATATTAAGATTTTTGAGTTATGCTGTTCACAAACAATCAGGAGACAAACCGACAGACAGACAAACAAACAGACAGACAGACGGACAAACGCTACTGAAAACATAACCTTCTTGGCGAAGGTAATTACAGCTTCTCTAAAAGTGTAAAAAAACAGTATATACTAAAAAATGCTGGTACAGTAGACAGGTTTCTTAGGAGTTCTAACTTAGTATTTACAAATACATGTGATGATTGGTTGCCTACCTGATAGCAGACACCCGATCCTACGGCTTCCGAGCAGTCGCTTCTTCACAGCTCCTTCCAGGAGAACTCGGATGTTGGAACAAATGTCTTCCTTTTCTAGAACACAACAGCAACGTTAATCAATGCAGACAAAAGCTTAAAAAACGATGCTTGATGTAACAACATGACTTATGATCTGGTAGATTTATTATATTTCAGTAAATAAGACCTGGCTACCATTCAAAATTCGTCACATGTCCAGAATGGGAAAAGTCTAAAAGCTTGTATCTAAAAACTGGAAAAAATATCACTGTGCTTTGGCCACCTTCTATACCAACCTTTAGGTCATTTGACCACAAAATAAAAAAGCTGAATTCATTTAAAGAAATGGCCAAAAAGGGAGAAAAATGAAGATGAAATAAAACAATACTCAATACATACCTATGACATAGACTGAAAAAAACTATAAAGTTGAAACGTACCCAGTGGCTTGACGAGAGCGTCGTACTTGGGCATGTCTCCAATCTTGTGGAACCTGGCACGTTCCCTCAGGGTGACCTTGCCGTTGGGACTGAGGTCGTACGCCTCGAAGTGACCCGGCGGAAACGGTTCAATGTCAACTTTGTTGTCGTCATCATCATGGCTCAATCCCATCAACCCTATTCTCAAAAAAGGATATTCAGTTATTTCTTTATCACTTAGCACTCCTAGGTACGAAAGTATTGTTTTGGGGGACCGAGCTCTGGATTTGTGCCTGTGAGGAAAGAGTAGGTTGACAGCGCACATGGGTAGGAGAAAGATTGACAGACAGAATGACAGGAGATCAAAGGAAGTGAGGTGAATGTGAAGGTCTCAGAATCCGAACGGAAGCCAATAGGAATTGGTCGACATGAGGGAATTCAGCAGGCCGATGGTTGCATACTTCCTGGAAGTCTACAAAGATTTCTTGTCTATGTTTCAAATGGTAAGAGTTTGTGTCACATAGACTACCAACTCTCCACCCTATAACATTTTTCTTACAGACTCACCCTTAGCCTCCGAGCAGACGGCCAGAAAGCCATCATCCTTCAGCAGACGGAACATGGGACGCACCCCGTATGTATCTCGCCCAAGGTAGACCTGGGAGCGACAGAAATATTTGCAACATTAAGGATGGCCGTATTTCTGGATTTTGTACAAAGTCACACTGAAAAAGAAAACACTGAAATAATATCTAACTGCAACGACTCGTGTATAGGTATAAAGGTGTATGTGGATTTTTTTGTTTACTGTAATAATTTTTGCCACCTGAATTTAAAGCTTTCCTTTTGCACTCAAGCGTCATGTCACGTCAATGGGCATCCATAGGATGTCACCTACATGAAGATTGTGTATTCTACAATACTGTGCATAACATTGCTTCGAATACAATTTCTATTTGCCGTTAAAACAAAAACCTCAAGGAAAACAAGCCTAGAACAAGAATTTGAAGACCCCATAACCCCATAAGACCCCATTTTCATTTGTCTCATTGATTATAGAAGTAAGGTTGTAATTAGCATAATCAATTTTATGGTTTTCTTGACCCAAACTGCATACTCAGACCCATACTCATGAAAGTCCTATTCCAATGCAATGTTCCATTTCAACATTTCAACAGTCAATAACCTCTGCATAAACATAATAAATGTACCGTGATGTTAACCTTTAACTAAGTTACACATGTCACACACAAGAATTGCAGAATTTCCTCATGAAAGATGCAAATGAAGTTCTAATCTCCTGACACTTTAATTATCACCACAATCCACAAATGCTTTCTGAAGTTATGGTGACTACGCACTTGCGGAAACAGACACATACACACAGACACACACACTGACCGACCAAAAACAATACTTTCATTTTACCTCCATTTGTTTTATGGAGGAAAAAAATACACACCCTCTTCTCCTGTGTGTCCAAGAGGATAAAAGCGAAGACTCCATCCAGGTGTTTGGTAGCGAACTCGATCCCACCGTGCATGTAGAGGCTGATGATGGCTTCACCGTCACAGCCTGTCTCATTGTTGAACCCAAACTGCTCTGTCACCTGCAACATTGTTGATAATTAAATTGACCAAAGATGACAGACTTCAACCCATACCAATTCTGTTGTTCAGTTGACACACACACGGCAGCACTGGGATGTATGGCAGTGTTGTGTTCAATTTGGAATTGCAGGAACGCATACAGACATAAACTAGAGTTCCCCGATCTCATACCTTCGCCAAATGATGTTAATCTTTGTGGATGACAATTTGTAAATCATTCCCCCTGATTGTGAAAATAGGATCCTCATTTTCATGAATTATATTATCATATTCTCAACCAAAAGACAGTCTTATAATTAACAAACAATTCCAATTCTAGCATTTCCTCATGAATTATGCAAATGAGGTCCTAATTTGAATACATTATGTTTAATGATGTTCACCTTCACTGAACTTTCAAATACCATAAGTATGAACTTCCAGGCAGTTATCATTACAACAGTAGTGAGTAATTATAACATTTTCTCATTAATTATGCAAATTAAGTCTTCAAATACATAATCAATATCTGCCTGTGTTTATCTCGTTCACAATTACTTATGTCACAAGCTTCAATAGTCCTATGATGGAATGCAGCTTATTTATAGAATTTTCCCATAAATTATGCAAATTACATCCATATTTGCATAATTGTCACTAATTACACATAATTATATTGCACATATTACAGATAATTATATTAAGCATCACGTAAGCTACCTGCATACCAAAAATCACGACGATCCGTGAACAAGTTCTTGAGTTATCCTCTTTTGAATATATTCAAACATATAGCCCTGAAGTTCCAGAGCAAGCCGCTAGGGGGCCCAAACTCATGTCACTTCTTCCCCAGCACAACCATCCCTACCATCCAAATTTCATCACCCTAGCATGTCTAGATCAGGCCATGTTGATTTGATTATATGGATGACATCCTCGCGCGCATGAATTTTCGGCCATTTCAAAAAAAAAAAGTTTTCAACCATACTGTAAATCGTACAAAACAGTTGCAAAATGAGCAAAAATATACCATAAGTTACAAAAAAAATTAATAAAAACTATACCAATGTCGTAGAATGCCAAAATCAAACAAAAAAAGACGAAATTGTAAAGAAATGAATTTGAAGACTAGATTAATCGCCCAACCATATTCTGTGCCATTTGCTCAACCCTCATGACCACGTAGATTTCATAATGAAAAGAACTTTTTTTTTTGCAAAACTTTTTTTTATTCGCACGCGCGCATCAGTCTTAGGGCTCCCGGAGTCATCCATATAATCAAATCAACATGGCCTCATGAGATATCAATACCGGAAGTTCAGCTGCAGTACCGTAACAAGCCGCCAGGGGGCCCAAAATCTAATCATTTTCAGGTCTCATCAAGACCTACCCACCTACCAAGTGTCAAGACAATCCATTTAAGCCTTCTCAAGTTATCGTGTTTACACAAACACACACACACGAACGCCTCTGAAAACATAACCTTCTTGGCGAAGGTAACAAACACACACAAACATAGACACAAACTAGCACACGTACACACACGGAGATCTAGACACGCACGCACACATACATTTGCGTACGCACAGACAAGCAAAAATGAGTTAAAATTAAGTTAAGTTAGAAAGTGACATTACAAATAAAAAGTACAGACTATTACAAATCTAACATTGATCTTACCCTTCTGTAGTTGTAGATTTCTCCGTTGCAGCACAACCATATATGGGGATATCTGTGGACTCTCATTGGCTGCATGCCATAGGTGTCACCCACGATGGCCAATCGGTGGAAGCCGAAGCAGCAGTTCTTGAAGTGGTTGATGTTCTCCAGACGGAAACAGTCTGGCCCGCGGTGTCCGATCCTGAGCGCGCTGACGCACTGCTTGGACACATCCTCATCACTGCCGAATATCGCCCATATGCCACACATGTTGCACCTATGGAGTGAAATAAAAAAAAAATTATGAAAAGTCGCACATTCAAATTGGAATCCCATGCTCTGCTGACCTATATACCTGCATGACATCCTACGGACACCACAAAACAGATGAGAGCACCTGAAAAAAGATTCCAGATTTTTTTTACATCTAAGTGACATCAAAACAGTGAGGACTAACTTCAATATGACCTGCCTCAAATAGGTGGACTTTGATTTATAATATGCACATTGCTCCCAGAATGTACTGACTGTCTGTTGCAGTGCAATAGTGCCACCTAGTGACCTACCGGAGAACTGCAGAATGATACCTGAGTTTTCCTTAGGCCACACCTCCTTAATTTATGGATGACATCCTCTGAAAACCCCCAAATTAGTGCGCGCGGGCGAATAAAAAAAATTCCAGCCAAAGATAAAAATGCTACTAAGGCCATGTTGATTTGATTATATGGATGACATCCTCCGGGAGCCCCAAAACTGATGCGCGCGTGCGAATAAAAAAAAGTTTTGCAAAAAAAAAAGTTATTTTCATTATGAAATCTACGTGGTCATGAGGGTTGAGCAAATGGCACAGAATATGGTTTGGCGAATAATCTAGTCTTCAAATTCATTTCTTTACAATTTCGTCTTTTTTCGTTTGATTTTCGCAGGCTACGACATTGGTATAGTTATATTTCAGTCCATACCATGGCATGGATGAAATATATTGTGTTCCCTCATGTTTCTCCTTCTCCTCCTTCTCCTCCTCCTCCTTCTCCTCCTGCCAAACAGTCAAAGGGATTCAACTCAGCCATCATTCAGCCAAATGACCTGAAATTTGGCATGGAGGTAGAGTGGGCAAATACCCCCAGACGTTTTTTTCATTTTTTTGAAACATGCCTTTGAAAAGTTTTTATGAAGGTTTTTTGGGGCATTTTTCGACAAAAAAATGGATTTTTGGATCCTGAGCCCTGGTATTACAACCAAATGATATGACATTCGGTATAAGGGTACCCTGAACGTGTGTCTACAGAATAGTAGTCACATATTTGGCATACACCACTTCCAAATGACTCATTTGGGGGACTTAAATGGCTATTTTCAGCCAAAAAAAGGGCCAAAAGTGCTGTACCCGTTCCATGTTCTATCTAAAGAATGGCCGGTTCCATCCATGGAACACGTGTTCCATTGCAGGTTACCTGAGGTCACATTGCACAAGTGGTGCGTAATGACCCACACATTCAATTTTATGTGCCTAAGACCTTCAAAATGTATCAAATCTCATCATTGTTAGTTTTTGCATACCTGTCATAAGATTAGTAAAGCTTTCGAGATTCAAAGTACTTGTTGTTGCATCTTTGTTCTCATATAGCTACTATTTAATTCATTTATTTGAGAACCTTTGCCAGTTTTGCACTGGGGTAAGTTTGGAATAGTCCACTTTTGCGTGGGAGGGAGATGGACTGAAATATGCTGTATTTGCTCCCAAGCAAATGTCGGCCTTTCTAGTTTTTATTAATTTTTTTTGTAACTTATGGTATATTTTTGCTCATTTTGCAACTGTTTTGTACGATTTACAGTATGGTTGAAAACTTTTTTTTTTGGCCAAATTGGAAACGGCCGAAAATTCATGCGCGCGCGGATGTCATCCATATAATCAAATCAACATGGCCACAGGAATACAAAGCTGGTACTGTGAATTTGCGGCAGTACATACTGTAGCGACATACATGTATACGATAAGCCGGCACATGCGGGCTTTTTTGCGAAATTTTTTAATCTGCACTGTACGTATGTACTGAGATCTTCAGTCGTGGAGCTTCGCCCGGGCCTTCGGTAGCCTGGGTGCCCGGCTAGCTCGTACTACCGCTAACTACCATGGACTACCCAGGCCTAGAGCCAGGCCAGCGCCTCGGTGAACGGGCGAAAATCAATGCGCGAGCGGATGTCATCCATAAAATTAAAGCGATGTGGCCTTACCATGCTAACCTGTTGTGCGACCTGTGTGCTATACGTCGTATTTGCATAAGCCTAATTTGCATGTTCGTGAGATTGAAATGGTATCCTAACCTGTGAGTAATGGCGTTCCCCTACTCATGAGATGGCATGTGGATGGACTGGTTTTTAAAGAGGCCACCAACAGGGTACATCCGTACTCACATTGATATAGTATGAACAAAATAACCCCCATGGCATGCCAAACACAAATAGGGAACTTTTTTACAAACAACCTGTCAACAGACGGCACACAGGCGTGTACTAAAGTCATCTCCAAGCGAATCTTTTCGGGGGGACGGCATTATTAAGTTGGCCGGGCCGTATACCTATCCAGCCAAGTTGAGAGTACCTTACCTTGCCTAAATTTGCTTGGATATTGTTTAAGAAAACCCGTGATTCACACATAAAGTTGCTTCAGAATTACGAAGGGAAACAGACTTACCTGAAACCACGTACCCTACCGATGTCGAGAGTAAGACTGACTAGCCGAAACTTCGGGACCGCCCAAAACATTTATAGCCTCCGCAGGCAGGCTTCTTGCTTGGCGAGCCCTTTGGCTTATCCTGTGCTGTTTTCCGATTGTACACTAGTCCTGATTGTACCGGAGTTTTAACAGTCATCTAGCGTAAAGACGTTTAGAAACCCACCACAATACAAACTGATACAAAACCAGAAATAGCTCATGATTAGCGAAGAAAAACCGCCTAGATTCCTGATTTGGAGGCTAAATTAGGTGACGTATTCTTGCTTAATTGGCCATGGGTGGAACCTAAAATTACTGATCCGAACATCAATTCTATCAAAGGAAAGGTCATTCAATTATGGGTTTCACCAGCCGGCACGCCACTACTATGATCGAACGCATTTCGAACGAGTTTTCTTTGCAGTGCGTATCACTCCGCCGTCCATAGCAACGCCGTTGCTATGGACGATGCTTTCTCGGGCCACCCGGATGAAATTTCACCCTGTTTCACAGCGATAACTTTAAATCTATTCCATTCCATTCGATTTTCTGTATTTTCTATCAAGGTATCAAGGTATTCTGGTGGCTTTTGCGTGAATGTGGTACATGTGGTACATGTGGGGAGAACAACCAGTCTCCCTGGATCTAAAGCTTAAACTGTTTGACGTTTATGTCCTACCTGTAATGCTTTACAACTGCGGCACATGGGGGCTATGGAACAGTTAGCCGGCAAGATCGACGCTTGGCACAGGAAACAGTTAAGACGCTTAGCTGGATATTTCCACCCACACCACATTAGGAACACCAAGCTGTAGTAGTAGTAGTAGTAGTAAGCCTTTATTTAATCTCGAATGCTTGTTCGGTACATACCGCTTTTCAACAAGGTCGAGGGTGAGGGCGGGGTCACGGAATTACAGATCAAACCAAAATATAATACAAAATCAAAACAAAATGCAAATCAAAATATAATACAAAAATAAATAGCAAATCATCAGTCCTTTATCAGTCCAAGTTCCTTATCATACTTCTAAATGTTCCCAATGACTGGGCTGCTCGTACATGTGGTGGCAAGGAATTCCACACAGTCGCCCCCGAGTACCTCAGTGACCGCCTGTACACTTCCAGTTGGGGCCTCGGTATGATGAGGTTGTCCAATGTGCTCTGTCTGGTGGATCTGGAGGCTTCATCTCTATACCGGATGAACACCCCTCGCATATGTGGTGGTAAAGAATTGTCCAAGGCCCTATACACTAGCATGGCTTTATGTTGACGGTGTAGAGTTCTCACGGACATCCATCCCAGACGAGAGAGGACTTCCCGTGATGGTGTTCTGTACGGGGCTTTCAAGATCAATTTTCCTACTCGGTTCTGCATTCTTTGCATCTTATCATATTGTACCGAAATGGCACCATCCCAGACAGTACAGGCATAAGTTAAGTGCGGTAAAAATATGGTGTTATACAAGGTGACAAGTGCAGATTGTGTGACAAAAGGTTGGACCTGACGCATTATTCCAAGTGCGCGTTTTAGTTTAGACAGAACATGAATAACATGAAAATCCCATTTCAGTTCGCTGTCAACAATTACACCAAGGTATTTAAAAGCCGGGACTACTTCAAGGGGGTTTCCATTCATTAATACTTGTAACTGGTCTTTTCCCCTAAGCCGATGACGTGTGCCAATAAGCATGGCTTTGCACTTCTTGGCATTGACAGAAAGACAGTTAGCCACAAACCAGTGATGAAGACGGTCCATATCAGACTGAAGAGCCCTTTGTATGGTTTCTAAGTCAGGATGGCTGAAGTATACCACAGTGTCATCAGCATATAAAGCAATTTTGCAGTGCTGTATGCATTTTGGCATATCATTTACATACATTACAAACAAAAGCGGTCCCAAAATGGAGCCTTGCGGCACTCCACAATCAACATTACAGAAATTGGATGTTTGTCCATTAACAACTGTGCAGTGAGATCGCTCACAGAGGTACGATCGGAACCATTTAGCTGTAGAGCCAATGATTCCAAAGGCACTGAGTTTTTGCAGAAGGATGTTATGGTCAATGGTGTCAAAAGCCTTTGACAGATCGACAAAGACTGCACCAGTGATTTTACCATGATTTACTGCTTCATACCATTCCTCTGTGACTAAATGAAGAGCTGTTTGGGTAGAATGTTTTTTGCGAAACCCAGACTGTCGTGCAGAGAGAAGGTCATTCTCAGTCAGAAACTGATAGACTTGCTGATGAACTGCACGTTCAAGTATTTTAGATATTACTGGAAGAATGCTAACTGGTCTGTAATTACCAGTGTCTGTTCTATCTCCAGCTTTGAAGATAGGGACAACTCGCGCTTTCTTCCAGTCTGCAGGGAACTCAGAGGTGTTCAGGGAAGCATTCAAAATGCTGGTCAAGGAAGGTGCTATAACAGGGGCAGCAATCTTGAGGAGTCTGCAGTTAAACCCATCAAGACCAGTGGCTTTGTTTCCTTTCATGGAAGAAAGTTCGGACAAAACAAAAGCCTCTGTATAAGATCTGCAACTCTTCTCCACTTCAAAATGAAGTCCACCGGCGCAGATGGACTCTCTTTGGGCACATCCTTCGCATGCCACATGACTCACCCGCACAAAAGGCCCTCAACATCGCCTTTAGCAAAAAGCTCTCGCCAAGGAAGGAGGTCTTCTGGACTGTCTGTTAGACGACACAAAACTGTACTTCCAGCAGAACATCAAAGCTGAGACCTACGCACTCAGGTGGCTACGAGACCAGGCCAGACACAAGGAAACGTGGAATGGACTGTATAAGAACATTGAGGACTCACACTGATTTGGTGTACCGATCCGGCGCTGCCTTAGGGCATAGCCGTAGATTTGTGCCTGAGAACAGTCATTTATTATTATTATATTTATTATTTGCGTGAATACAAAATCGGTACATTTGTCGATAAAGTATGTCTCTTACTGCCTAAAAAGTTAATCACTGGAAGTTAAAGGCTGCGATTATTTGGGCGTTTCTTCCTAACAGAAAGCCACTTAAAATCCACTGAAACGTCATGTAAGTGTGTTACACCCATGTCTCCACGATAAGGCTGACATCCTCTGAAGACTAGTGCGCGAGGGCGAATTAAAAAAAATTCCGACCAAAAATAAAAATGCTACTAAACCACTGGGGGGATTTGGTCACTCTACCTTCACGCCATGGTATAGAAATATATCGGCTTGTACACCGTATGAATTGGATTGTGTATACTGATTGTGTATAAATGCACCGCATGATGCAACTGCGTTCAAGGGTGACGCCAAGACTCCCTGGGGCGAAATCTCGCGATTTTGTCCTCCCCGGGTCGAGATCTCTAGCGATTTCACCCTCCCCGCAAGTGATTTGGTCCCCCCACCTAGAAAGAGAGATTATTTCAACCAAGGAGGTTACTGTCTTGCTCTAACCGAACCTGCGATAATATCGATAGAATTGTTAAATCAGATTTTTGTACCTGCCATACATGTGGAACGATGTAAAAGATGCCCCCGTTCATGATTGGATATCTGTTGCGAATCAATCGATTCATTTTTTAACGGTATCGCTCAATGCAAGGCCAATTATATTTGGCCACTTCTAGGCATAGAGCTAGAGGAACGTAGGGGAGTATAATGTAGTTATGTCATGAGATGGCGGTGGACCTTTGTTTTGAAGCTTTGTAGATTGTAATCGGACGGAAAGCAGTCCGGGAAAAGAAGCTGTTGTTGTAATATGACTTGGAGACAGGTATGTTAACGGTGTATTGATGAGAAGTGGAAGAGAACCTAGTGGCACGCTGAAAGGTTCTGAGTGGAGGAACAAGAACATTTGGGAACATGGACGCTCCAAACCGGTTCCGTTGCGACTTATTTTGGTACGCGAGGTGGTCTGAAACGATACAGAACGATTCGCGTTCGTAGAATTGTGATCATGAACACGCGGATGCGAATCGTTCCGGTTCGACGCTGTACTCCCCGGTACGTTGGGGCCACGGTCGGCCATAGTTTGCGGCGCAGTGGCTTACTGCGGAAAATTCTACTTGAATCGTACAATATTGACATTGAGTTCTAATTACTGGTCGACTGAGGAAACGGGAGTTACGATATTGACTTGGGGAAATCAGGAGATCCAGAGGAAACTGCGGATGGTGTGCACTAGAACCAGTACCCTGGGCGTGAGGGCGAGTGGTAGCCCAACAGGGGCGTTGGGGCGGCGCGGACCGTGGGGGTTTTGCGCCAGATGCGTCCGGGGCACAGCCTATGGGGAGGACATGAATCGGGAACGAGCGACCACTCGCCCGGACAGGCGTAAACTCTCCGCCTGACGAGCCGGGTTCCCAAGAAATGTTCAAAGAAATTGTGATATACATACATATGAAATGGAAGTCAATTCGAGGTGCAAGTGTGGGTGCAAGTTTTGAATCACGGACGCAAAAATATATTCCGTTTCGATTCGGATCGTGGCCAAACCGGAACACATTTCAATCATGAACGAGGCCTAAGGGGCGGGAGGGGGGCGAGATCTACGGAGGCGGGGTGAAATCGCTAGCGATCTCACCCAAGAGGGCGAAATCACTGGGGGCGAGATCGCTGTAACACCGGTTGCAGTTCCGTATTATATCGTATATTTCAAGATATTAGTAGGCCGCGTGTCTCTAACGCACCCTACGACAAAGTGTTTGTACCGCGTCGAAGTGAGTCACCTTGGGGTGATTAATTATAGAAATCCCCATAGGGCATTGACTGTGTTCTGCCAAGGACATTATACAGAAGTGTCAGTCCACACTGAAGTGGAATTATTGGACGGTTGGCCCTTCGACTATTAAAAGGGCAACGACATGGGAATTGCAACGAAGCTTCGTTGTTCCGCCGGCGTTCTGCTACTGGTAATCTTTGGAACACACAGTAGCTCAGAGAAGGTTCTGCTTGTAGCTCCTCCAAGAGGAACAAGTCACTGGCTGGCTCTGGCACAGATTGGCCGCGCTTTGGTGGATAGAGGTCATGTCGTCACTGTGGTTGTTCCGGAGGGCATTGTAGCAAAACGACGGGCCAAGTGGCCTGGATTTCAGTTTTGGATATTCCAAGACCAGTATTGCTATATGCCTTTTCATCTTTTGTAACTACTCTTTTCTCCAAAGCATTAGATAAAGGTCTTAAGACAGGAATCGTTTAAACGACTAGTTTTTGATGGTGATAAAGACTTCTTCTTCTTACATGCAGTGTACAAATGTAAGCTGCAGATATCATTTGCATAATTGATATCTGCCTGTATTTCTGCCGTTCTTAGTTACAGATGACACAAGCTTGAATAGTCCTATCATGCAATGCAGCTGATTTATAGAATTTCAAGCATCACTTCAGCTACCTACATGCCAAAAATCACGACGATCCATCGATCAGTTCTTGAGTTATCAGCCTTTAAACATTTTTTCAACTAACGCCCTTGCAGTTCCAGAGCAAGCAGCTAGGGGGCTCAAACTCATGTCACTTAATTCCCAGCCCAAGAGCTATCTACCATCTAAATTTCATGACCCTAGCTTGTCCAGATCACGAGATATCAAAACCGGAAGTTCAGCTGCAGTACCATAACAAGCTGCTAGGGAGCCCAAAATCTAATCAGTTGCACGTCTCATGAAGACCTACCCACTTACCAAATATCAAGATAATCCATCTAAGCTTTCTCGAGTTATGCTGTTCACACACACACACACACACACACAGACACACGGCCAGCAAAACATAACCTTCGTCAATTCTTGGCGAAGGTAAATATGGGGGATTTGCGGGGCCGGGCAATTCCCCTGAAAAAGGGGGTGCTCGGAAAATCATTAGTTATCCGGTGGTTTTTCTATCAAAAGCCAACATTCCCTTGTGTATTCGGTTCTGATGTTTATATAACGTTACATAGCGAACAAACATCCCTCGCGAACTCTCTATTTACTCCGCCGCGCGAAATTTAGTCCTCGCGAACATAAATGCATTTACTGTATTTTGTCACAATAAGCACTATGTTGGAAAATGTCCGTACTCGTGTGTGTTTCTGCACTCCGTACACACATGTATATGTACACACATCCGTTTGGTTAATAATAATCCCAATAATTGTATTTGTTCAGTTTATTTGGACTCAGGCTGTGATGACTGGTTTCCATACTATTCTCCTATTGAATTGATTGTCAAAGTAATTAAAGTAATTTACGTTCCTACCTTTAGTTCTGGGAGTAGGAATATCTTCCTCCCGAGTTAGAGGTGTATGGCCACAAGCTTAGGTGTAATAAATTAGCCCTGATAACGAGAGATTGTGTAATACAGGCTGGCAATATCCACATTTTTGTCGTTGCCTTAGTTAAAGAATGTACCGAAAAAGAAAGCACTATGGAAGCAATAGTAAAAAATCCAGTCTGTTTTAACGCCCCTAGTGCCGTCAACATCAGTCTATGTATCAGCCAGTAATTATAAACTTGGGCCTTCTTTTACAGGCAGTCGAAGTTTCATCTCGTGTAACACAGGCTAGATTTGCCTCCGTCAGATTGCTTTTTTTTTTACACCTTACGCGCGACGAAGCGCCCCCCTCCCACCAGCCCGAAGTCGTTGCACAGCTTCTTGGCGGTGACGATGAACTTGAGCCACCCATCCACCATGTCCTCCCCGTACAGACGGACGTACTTGTCGCGCTGCTCGTCCCAGTTCGCCCAACGTCCGTACGTGTACTTGGCGTACGTGTCCGAAATGTTGTGGACCTGTGAGGGCAAGATTCAGTCGTGTGTGTAACTCCCAATTTACTTTTTTTTTCATTTATTTCAATATTCACCTGAAAACAAGGCTCATATGAACCACTTAAATAACAATACATCTTATGAGTTACATCAAGGAACTGTAGAGACACTGATGTTTGTTCAACCTACACACAAAGCTAAAGTACGGCTCTCCCTTGGAGACCAGTTTTCTGTATAAGACAGCACATATTCTATTTTCACCAATCTTACGGTATGTAATTGTATTGTATGTATTGTATATAATAATGACCATTTGTTATGACAATGTGTTGACCCTATGTAATTAAGACGTTTTTAAGAATTTATGTCACATGTATGTATTTAACCACACTTTTTCCCCAGGGCAAGCCCTTTTAAGGGTTTCAAGCTAGTTGGACTGCCCTGGCTGTGTTGTGCCAGCCGAACCAATAAATAAACTAGAAAGGCTGACATTTGCTTGGGAGCAAATACAGCATATTTTAGTCCAATGGTAACACCCAATGTATATTGCGCATGTTGCATTCCAAAACGTGTTCCATTCCAAATCATGATTTGGAATAAAACGAAGTGGAATGTACCTGCATTCCAAAACGTGGTCCATTCCAAAACATGGTTTGGAATAACACGAAATGGAATGCCTGTTGTGCTGCATTCCAAATCGTGGTCCATTCCAAATCATGATTTGGAATAACACGTTTTGGAATGCAACAGCGCACGACTTACGTGCAACGTGACCCCAGGTAACCCGCAATGTTAAATGTGTTCGAGCAGTGTTCGATAGCCAACGGCAGATGGAACGGAATTCTTTTAGATAGAACGTGGAACGGGTATAGCACTTTTGACCCTTTTTTGGCTGCAAATAGCCATTAAAGTCCCCCAAATGAGTCATTTGGAAGTGGTATATGCCAAATATGTGACTGCTATTCTGTAGACACACGTTCAAGGTACCCTTATACCGAATTTCAGATCATTTGGTGGTAATACCAGGGCTCAGGATCCAAAAATCCATTTTTTGTCGAAAAATGCCCCAAAAAACCTTCATAAATATTTTTCAAAGGCCTGTATCAAAAAAAAAAGAAAAAAAGGCTGGGGGTATTGGCCCACTCTACCTCCATGCCAAATTTCAAGTCATTAGGCTAAAAAATGACAGAGTTGAATCCATTTTTACGGAATGGCAGGAGAAGAAGAAGAAACATGAGAGAACACAATATAGTTCATCCATACCATGTGGTATGGACTGAAATATAATAAACCTACACTCGAAAAAAGTTTAAGGTTGTACCCATTTGGGAAGTATTCGCAAAGTATATCGTCAAGAAAACTTAATTATCTTCAGACAAAGTACTAGTAATCTTTAGTAGTAGACTTTACAGCCTCATAATTAAATGAAAAAGAAAATAAACACGACTTCGCGATACCCAGTTTTAGGAGCCTTTGCTTATCAATATCGTTCATCTTGATGTCAAACCTTCAACAGTGTCTAAATGTACTTAAAGATAGAGAGAGAGAGAGAGAGAGAGAGAGAGAGAAGCAAAGAAGAAAGAACAAAGAGAAACTCCTGACCGTGACTTGGAAGCCTGCCTCCTCCAGCAGGCGTCTGTAGTCCTGTTGGGTCGGCAGAGTGTTGACGCACAGGAGGAAGAAGTCCAACGCCGCCTTCTCCTCGTCGTTCTCAACGTCCTTCAGGCGGCAGAACTCCTCAAAACATCTAAAAATACAGTTTTGCACTCACGTGAGAATGACGTCATTGCTGCTCACCTAGCCTGATTAAATCGCTTTTGCCGGCCGCCCAACATCCAGCCGGCGGACTATGTAGGGAGCCCCCCGGAGCTTGGGTTACATAGGCTACTGCCCACCATATTGGACGCTTAAACATGAAAGTTCAACCAAGAACCGTGCATGGCGATTGCGAGGTCACTTTCAAACCTGTATGTATATAACCTTAGAAGCAAGCACATGCCAGCAAATGCAAATTCTTTCTGTCACATTTATTATCAACTGTTTAAAAGCATTGCCCGAGACGAGCCCATTCGTACTCTCCAAGCAGAGGTTGAATGGGAAGATTGTGACCTTTTTCTATGCCCCGTTTTTTTTCTGACAGCCGGCCCATCCAACCAATTCGGTGGCCAATTGGATACTGTCGGCCGGCTGGATACTGTCCGCGTGTTGGATACTATCTTTTTTCGGCCACCAAAAGATCTGCTTGGAGATTACCCATTCGAACACTTATACTAATTTTACCAGTATTTTAAAAACGAGAGTTTGTCAAAACGTAACAATTTTTGAATCAATTCTGTGCAAGATAAATCTACATAGTACACTCTGGAAATGTAGATGGAATACAAAATATCATCGCACTACACTTTTCAGCCACTGAATCGTTGTGAAATACTCACATGGTCCCTCCAGGTTTCAGGGAGTCGTACAGCTGACGGAACAGCCTGGGTTTATCCTCCACATAGTAGATTGCCTGGATGCTCATCACGTGATCAAACTCCTGATTACCTAGGAAAGGGGACATTCAAGGTTAAAGCAATTGCAATCGAATGATACATTCAAACACCTTAGTGTCTAAGATCAGCTTGTTTTGTTTTCGAATCATTTTTCTTCCCTCTCTTAAGCTTTCCTTAGGTCCCATTTCTACCGAATGGCATTATCGCTGAGCGACGATTGAGCGACCAACATTGCATTTGTGTATCGATGAAATTCGTTGATTGAGTTGTCAGATATTTTGTCTCTCAAAGGTCGCTAGGCAATCGCGGTTTCTCTTGAAAAAAAGGGCTTATGGTTTGGTCGCACATGCGCCCATAATTTGGAAGGTGCGACTATATTTGAAATCACTGGCACCGTGCCCTAATAAAAAAAAATTAACACCAACAAAAAGTTCTTTGGTTTGTAAATACGCTGTGCAGCCTGCGCTTTCCCTTAGTATTGGTAAATTAGAAAGTTAGCAGATAACATTACATTTCAGACATCGTGGTCCATTGAAATGAACTTTTCCATAGCATCCACCCTCTGTCCTGTTAGCCAGGTCTGTTTATTTTTTTTGTAAATTTCTCCATGCACGAAGATCTAGCCAACCAAGGATGGACATCTTTGGACAACAATAAATAATGTATCTTTTACCTGCTGTTGATTGGTGTATCATGATAGTCCCGACATTGGTCTCTGGGGTTAGAGATTTATTTACACCAGTCTATCAAGAGCATGTGTGGTAAGCATGCATGAGTGGGGGAGGTTTTGTCCTTGTTTACAAAATTTGGGTATTTCTGTGTGATCTGCTGACGTCACGATTCAAGATGGCGGCATAGTTCCAAAACTCCTGTCCCTTCTGCAAGATTTGGACATTTCTTTCTGATTCCAGTCGTGCAAACGGTTTTGTATCGACATCAAGAGTGACAGTATCCCGCCCGGTTCGATGGGAAAGCGTGACAGGGGCGCTAGGGGTTCATCCAGCAGCGCAGAAAGCAGTACCTTCACCGAAGTGCCCCCCTCCCCCCTCCAAATCGTCAAGAATGGCCAGTGGCGGGAACAAGGTGAACATGGGTTAGCTTCCAGTAGAGCTTCAATCCTTGGCTCATTTTATTTTAGAGCAGACAAAACAGCAACAAGAGTCAGTAGTGTCAAGATTTAATGCTGTCGGAGACAGATTGTCGGAACAAATCAAGATGCTTGATAGCAAAGTTGACAGCTTGTCTACGGAGCTCAGGGCGGTACGAGAGAGGGTGAATACGCTGGAAACCGCGGCCGATTGGAATAATGCAGAAATGGAACGCCTACGCAAGGAGCTACTACAGGAAAAGCGCGAGAGAGTGAAATCTGACTCGTTGGTGGAACGTTACTTTCGAAAACCTGACATTATTGTAAGGGGACTGCCATATCGAAAAGATGAAAACTGCGTGGAGCTATTCGACTGTTTCGTGGTTGTGGAACCCGGCTTGGAGAAGATACCTGTCGCAGCGGTGCATGGCCTGTCGCAGCCGACCAAGACAAGACCTAACCCGCCCCTTTTGGCAAGACTGATCAACTTTCACGACCGTGACCGTGTTCTGGACACGGGGAAGAAGTAATCTCCAAGCAGATGTTTCGGTGGCTGCAAAACAGTATCAAATTGGCCAGAGAGTATCAAATTGGCCAGACAGTATCATGCACGCCACCCAACAATAGCCTTTTTGAAGCAGACTGGACGCAGATGTTGGGTGGCGTGTTTGATACTGTCTAGCAAATTTGATACTGTCTGGCCAATTTGATACTGTTTTGCAGCCACCGAAACATCTGCTTGGAGATGAGGGAAGAAGTGCAGAGGAACAGGTATCGCCATACATGAACATCTCCCCCCCCCCCAGTCCCATTCAGGCGGCCGGGGCGAAGCTGGTTCCGGAGGCAGCAAAGGCACGAGAGAACAGGAATAGTGACACTAAGGTCTCAATCTTTGTCCCTCCGAAAGCCACGTATGCAGTACTAATGATTGATGGGCAAGAAAAGAAACGTGTAGATGCCATAGATATTGTTTTGGCTGGAGATATTGTTTTGGCTGGAGACCCACCTGAGTACAGTATTTGTTTTTATTTTCCATCATGTGTAATAATTCTGGTGAAATTTTAACATATTTGCAAGTTGGAAGTGTATATTAAAACGAGTTTTTTTTTGCTTCAGATACATATGTGCATCTTGTTGTTTTTTGAGTTGACAGTGAACAAGAATGAAAGGGCACGAATGTTAAATCTAAATATTTACAGGTGGTGTTATTATTTGGAACACCTGTAAGATAGCAAAACTGCCCCTTGTTGATTTGAATTAAGTTTTTGTTTTCTGCTATTTGGTTCTATATGCTTTTGTTACTGTCAACCACAGAGATGATCATATATTTCTTCTGTTTGCAAATATGTTTATTTATTGTTTGATTTTGTTATGTGATGATTTTGTGGCTCTGGATTACCCACAGACATATTCTATTTACTTTTTGTTTGCTTATGATTTGTATACTATCTCTAGTTCTGTACTTTCCGCATTACGATGTAGTATGGTGTTCTGATTTATGCGAAGAATTCTGTTCATCTATGACAAATGGAGTGGGAAGCTGCCTGTATATGAACGCCATGGTGAGACCAAAAGTATGTGTGTGTGAGTGTGTATTTTTTTTTAAGTTTATGTAGTGAACCATCCCGATACATGTGTTATTTTCCTTTTGAGTTATACATACTGATTACTTCATGAAACTGAAACTGTTTTATTCACATTGATTGGCAGCCAATATGCATTGCTTGGCTGAATTGCACAAGTGATTACATGTTAAAATAGCTTGAAAAGAGATACACATTAAAAAGCACAACATTGACGATTAAAATTAAATAGATTTAAAATTCTGTAAGTCAGGTCCATTAAAACAGAAGCGGACTACTATTTACAAGTCTTGGTTGCTGAGGCTTATTGCCTGAAACAGAAAAGATTTCCTCAGTCTTTCAGTTCTGAACTTCGGTACGGAGATGTGATTTCCATTTCTCAGGGACCGCCGTGTGCTCTGGTGTCTGTCGTAGGGCATCAAAGAATGCAAAGGGTGGCTGACATGCCGCATTTGCTTGAGCAGAGTTTTTGCTGCAGTTTCCCGTCTGTCCTGGAGGGTGGAGAAGGGGGTTGTTTGAGTACTGTTGCCGTAGGATTCTCGCCGCCCTTCTCTGTACAGCCTCAAGAGTGTTGTTCTGTTTTGTGTTACAGCCCACGTACACGACATTTGCGTACTCTAACACAGGTCGTATCAGAGTCGTATACACAGTTTCCAGGTCCTCTGGTGGCATCCCGCCCTTCTTGAGCATGCGGAGAAAGTGAAGACGGGTTGAGCCTTTCTTTGCCATGTGTAAGATTTGGCTTTTGTATGGGTCAGAATCATGGGTCATGAATATGTCACATTCTAGAAAACTAAACGGAACATACACGAAGATGTTGCGAGTGGTTTTCAATACACCATGGTGGAAACACACTACTAATGAACAGTTATACGGTTCGCTACCGAATGTAACTTCAGTAGTCAAATGTCGACGACTAAGCTTGGCCGGTCATGTAATACGTAGTGAAGAACCAGCCAGTAGGCTTCTACTCTGGAACCCTGATACCTGTAAGAGAAGAGTTGGACGCCCAAACATAACAGTTAAGAAACTTATTGAAACTGAAACTGGCTTGGAGGGACATGAACTTTTCTCAGTGATGTATGACAGACAGTTGTGGCGAACTAACTTTGTATGCTCCACCTCTACGGAGGATGAATGATGATGATGATGATGAAGATTTGGCTGTCCCACCCAAGGCTGCGGTGAAGTTTGAAGCCCCGATACGTGGCACATTCAACAACCGGGACTTCTTTGCCTCCAAGTGTGAGGGGAGGTGGAACAGGTGGATTTTTTGAAAAGCACAATCTCAACTCATAGGACTTATCCCCATTCATAATCACATTGTTCTTGTTCGCCCAGGTGTAAAGTTGCGTGGCTTCCTCTTGCATAGTTGTGTCGCTTTCAACAGTGTCACATGTGAACGTTCTGGACAGTCCGATGTCGTCTGCATAACCGATGTTGCTGGTTGTTTGGTGCACAGTTTCTCTTGACGACATGTACACAAGGAACAGGTACGGAGAAAGCACTCCCCCTTGTGGCACTCCTGATGTGACGACGTTCCAGTTGCTCTGCTGGTTGTTGGCGACAGCGCGTTGTTTTCGGCCAGTGAGGTAGCTTCAGTTTGTTTTGTTTTCATTAGTTAAAGAGATATTATGATTCCATCACCCCCACCTTACCCAGATGACTTCTGCAGATTTCCAACCTTACCAGACACATCCCAGAGGCCATGACACAGGTACAGCTTCAAATTTCCAGTTTTAATTGCAATGGTCTTGGTAACTTTATTAAACGCAGGGAAGTTTCTACTTGGCTTAGAGATAAACCATATAATATTATTTGTCTTCAAGAGACCCACTCTACCCTACCTGTTGAGACCAGATGGCAAAATGAATGGGGGGATCCATGGTATTTTCACATGGCACTTCCAATCAAAGAGGTACAGCCATCATTTTGTTTAAAAATGATATTAACCCTGATATCCATCAAGTTAAGACAGATAGTGATGGGAGATGGATTATTATTGATTTGACTGTTGATAATTATAGATTTTGTTTGGTAAATTTGTATGCTCCAAATGATGATTCACCTGTTTTTTTTTACAAATTTGTCTGTAGAATTAGAGAATTTTGAAGAGAGTAATGAAAATATGATTATTACAGGTGACTTTAATACAGTACAGAACCCTTTATTAGATAGACACTCTACAAATCGTGCTTATCATACTAAAGCATCAGAATGTATTTCTGAATTGAAATGTAAATTTGATCTCCTTGATATATGGCGCTTTAAAAATCCTAATGTAATTAGATACACCTGGAGAAGAAGAAGACAAGCAAGTAGGATCGATTATTTCTTAATTAGCTTTTCTTTAATAAATAGAGTGAATAAATGCATAATTGC